GTTTTTTTCCAACTTTGTTCACTTTGCTCCCCGTGTTCCCTCTGCTCTGCCTGGGCTGGGCTCTGGGGCAGAGGTGCATGGAACAGGCTAGTGGTGGGGAGCATCCAGACCGTCCGGTGGTCGGTGCTGTTGCTGGAGGAGGGATGGAATCAGGAGAGGCTCGAAGAGAGACTGCAGAGGGAGCTGAGGGGTGAGGACTAGGCTGAAACTTGAGGAACAGGTGTGAGCAAAGGGCATTTGTGACAGCGGGGTCAGCACACGCAAGGGTCTGAGGTGCAAGAAACACACTGTCCTCCAGGACAGAAGATAGCCCAGTAGGGCTGGAGTCAGGTACAGGCTGAGGAGGGGACAGTATCCTAAGGCAGTGTCACCTCTCCATACACTGTCCCCTGGGCTTGTGGGTACCCCATTCGGCTAGGCCCCTGGCCAGTGCAGCCCCCATACCTGCTGGACCCTCAGCACCTAGGAGCTGGGGGCTTGTGCAGAACTGACCTGCTTTAGAGGCCAGAACACGTGGGTTTGGGAGCAGGGTCCGGGAGGCAGGGACACAGCCTCTGATGGTGCTTCTCCTGTGTCGTCCCCAAACCTGGCAGGTTCTGTTTGGATTCTGCAAAGCAAACACGTCAGAAAGTGGCTGTGAACTGGACCAACTTCAGCCTCAAGAAAACCACTCCCAGCACAGCTCAGTGAGGTAGAGGCCCCCAGAAGTCACCTGTGCCCCTCCCGATGCTCGATGCTCTGCCAGCTTCTGTGCCCACCAGACCACTGCACTGTCTGAGGCACAGGGAGCTGGACATCCCAGTGACAGCAGCGTGGGCTGCGCTCGCCAGAGGCACAGGCCTCTGTCTCTTTGTCCCTCCTCCCTGGTCCAGGCCCTCCTGTTAGCCCTCCTGCCCATGTTCCTGAAGGGCTTCTTCCTATGCTGTCACCCCCAGTATCTCCACTGGGTCTCTACTTCCGGACTCCCAAAGTGCCCTGCCAACCGTTGGCCCCAGCAGGCCACCCCCACCCCTGACCTGATTAGTCTTGGGGTCGAAACTCACTGGCACCTCCTCGCAGGCTACTCCATGCAGGCCCTGAGGGAGCAGTGAGACACTGCCAAGTTAGGCCAAGGCCTCAGAGGTCATTTGGGAACGGAGGAGTTGGTGGGTGCGCTCCCTCAACAGGTTAGGTTCCTTGGGGAAATTGATAGTAAAGCCACCTGAAAGAAGAGGCCCCGTGCTGAGCTTTGGTCACCCTCCCAGCCATCTGCACAGTCCCTTTTGGCTGAGTTATTCACCAGTGATGCTCTGGACTGAGGACTGAGGTCAGGAGCCTGGAGAGGGCCCTGGGCTGAGAACCACAGTGCAGAAGAGAAGGGTGGCGGGCAGGCAGGCTCGGACGCCCCATTCGGGCTGCATCTCAGCCCTGAGCCGTGTCTCTGGGGTCAGGCCCTTCTGGTTGGCAACCACACAGGGCCCTTAAGGCAGCAGGACACTGGGGCAGGCGAGCTGAGTCCAGGGACCCCCAGGAGGGCGTCCTCACCTGTCCTCCTCTTTGCAGTGCCAGGGCAGCAGACCGCTGGATCCTTGGCTGAGCCTGCTTTCCCATGTGGGTCCAGATCTGCCCCTTTGGCTGCTGGCTCAGCTCCCCAGGGACGGCCTTTGGGGCTGAGCCCCTGCACACCCTGGCACTGCCCTGGAGTCTGGGCTCCCCACAGACTGCCTCTGCCCTGCTGCTCTGGGGGTCGGGCTCCCTGACCCTTTGCCAGTCTGAGACATCCAGTCCACACCCCCAAGAGCTTCTGCCAGGACGGGGATGCCCTCTTGCCTGTCTTTTCACCTCCATTGGAACCAAAGTGGCAGGGACCCCACCTTCGTCTGTTACCCCTTCTGAGAAAAAAGGGTACACCTCCTCCCATAGGCCCAATTCCCCGGTCATCCAGGAAACCTCCAGCATATTCCTCCTTTTTCAGCTGGTCTCTTTCCCAAGAAGGGAGATGCTCCCTCCCCAGAGCAAGAGCGAGGGAGAAAGCAGTGCTGTTGGCAGACGGGGACCGGCCGGGCTCTGTGGCACCGCGCCCCAGTGCCAGAGGCGGGGCTCTTCCTCCGTGCAGGCCTGGGAAGGACGTGCTGCCCACTGCTCCTCGGGGCTGGTCCCACCGCCTGTGAGGTCTAGGTTGACATTCCACACGTGAACAGCATGCCAGGGCTGTGGCTTTTTCCTGATAGGGTCTTCAGTTTCACCCTCTGCTGGAGGTGACTCCGAGGAAGTCTGTGGGAGCAGCAGTCGGAGGCAGCTGCCCCCGTTTCTGCAGGGACCCATGGGGCCCCAGAGGCGGCATGGGGAGGCCATTGCTCACCATGTGGCCACGCCCTTTTGTTTCCTCAGCCCCTGCTGGTTCCAGTATCTTCAGGGTGTCCCGAGACGCCCACCTGCCAGCTGAAGACCCACACTCTCTTCCTCCTCCACATCGCACCCACTTGCCCAAGACCCACTCTACTCCCGCCATCCCAGACCAACCAGAAGCCGAGTGGATGCCGGGCGCAGGCTGGGCCCCTGGGACCTCCACAGAGCCACCTGCTGGTGCTACAGCCCCCACACTCAGCCCCGGGGGCAGGGCTGGCCTGTGGGTGGAGGGGGGCTCTTGGTACTGCTGGCAACACTGCTCTTTTTGTGTTTTGATTATTTTGTTTTTGTTTGTTTTATTTTATTTTTTTAATTCTTTACTTTTGATACTGTGAAAATCTTTCCTGCCGAAAGATAAAGCAACATTTGGACACAGTCTGTGTGCAGGTCATTTGCTGGGTGTTTGCTGGGCGGAGTGAGGCGAGGGGTGGAATCAGAGGCATGGGGTCGCTTTAGTCACCCCGATAGGCACATGCACCATGTCAGCGGCCTGGCAGCATTGTTTCCACTCATCGCAGCTGTTTAAGTGGGACTGTTAAATGGGACAGGGAAGGCTTCGGTGGTTACAGCCTGGCTCATGAGGGTTAGAGCACGGCCTGTGTGGCAGCTGTCTCTGTCCTCCTCCTGTTCAGAGGCCTCAAATGGGAGCAGCCCTCCCCCTCACAGAAGGGGGAATTGGAGGAATGGAACTTGGTCTGTGGGCAGACGTGAGAAGGGGCCTGGGGAAGGCTTGAGGCCTTGGTAGACAGTGCACCTGCAGCCTGGGTGTCCTGGGGTAATGGGGGGGGGCAGGTGGACAGAGTGTGGAATGAGACAAAGCGTAAGTACTTGTGAGTTAAGAGGAACTGAACCCTTCTGTGAAGTAAAGCAAACTGCTCCCTCCCCCTGCAGATAGGTCTGGTCTGTAAATTCAGATTTTAGTGTAGATTTGCTAAAATTGCCTCTCACACGTGTGTGTCCGAACTCCTTGTCCCCAGTGGAGTTTTCTCAGCTAAAACCAACATTTGACCTGAGCTCATGTGGGGCGTGATGGAGGCGGTGGACACACAGTCGTTAGAATTCCTCATAGAGCTGTATTGAACCCTGCTCCCTCCTCCCACCCCATCCCCCACCTAGTTGAGCCCCACCGTGGTCTGGCTGGCTGGCAGTACGAGCTTCCTCTTCTAAAGGGAAACAGCGTTGCAATCCCTGGCCCCTGGCCTTTCCCAATCCCCAAGGAAGTATGGACACTCCGAGTAAAATCCGGAAACTCATTACTTGCACCAGCCTCCTGTCCCGCCGCTGGACTGATGCTGCTAGCTGGGCGACCGCGGGTCTGACTGAAAAGTACTGAAAAACAGTACTTTTCCTCCAGATAAGAGACCTGTGACAACACTGCTCCGCGCTCGCTCCAGCCACACCTACAACCACAGTCTGTAGCCAGGCATGGCCAGGTCTCCTGACTTTTGCTCACATACTTCTCTTTCCAGATTATACTTCCTTCATAAACCCCTGCTTATTCTTCACTTCCCAGTTGAGAAGCCACTTTCACAATGAAAACCAGTTTGCCCTGCCCTTGTGAGAATTCCAAAAGTGATACCATGTTTTTTGATACTTCTCCTTATTCAAGTCTGGTTTATATTTTCTCTCTCAACAAGTCCGTAATCTCTCAAAGCTAGGTCTGTGTCTTGCTCATCTTTTATCTGCCTCCGCACCGCATGATGCCCAAACCATGCTCGTGTTAAATATATGAAAGGGTAGCACTGACCCATCATTCCCAAACGTCCCGATGACAAACACGCTGACAATCGCCACTCTGGGTGCAGTTTACCGCTCCAACCCTTGCTCTGGCTCACCCGGCTCCAGGTGGGCCGAGTGCGCTCCTCCCTTGGGACCCGCGCTTGCCCGCGCCTAGGCCTCTCCTGCTACACTGGAGGCCTTTCTCCCTCTCCTCCCCGCTCCCTGCTCTGAGATTCCACGCCTCCTGGAAGCCTTCTCGGGTTCCCTTTGAGCTCTGTCACAGCATTTATGGTCATAATCTCTTACAAACATACGTACGTACAGATCTTCGGTTCAAAACTACCGTCAGCAGCATTTTATTTACCCCTCCCTACTCTGAGCATGTCTCACCGACGAGAACACGAGTCAGAGCGGCAGTGCTTGAGTCATTCATTCCACAAACCGCACCCTACCCCCTCGGCCCTGCGGGGATGGCGACCCGGGCAGGATCCATACCGGCCGGGTCCCGGAGCTCCCCGGCCACTAGAGGGCGCAGTGTCCGCCGGCGGGAGCGCGTGGGATGACGTCACGCTGTGAGCGAAGCTGAGTACCCAGCGGGATCCACGGTCTTCACTGGGGTGCCTGCCCCGCCACCCGGCTTGGTTTGAGCGTTTAGCGCATGCTCCAAATTCTCCAGCATCCCACAATGCTCTGCCTGACGCTTTCGTAGTCAGCCCGGCGTCAGCTGCGTGGCCACGCAGAGGGCCTTAACGCTGCGTCGCCAGACGGAGGTTTGAAGGAAGTTTGTCCCTCGGTGCGACCCGGCACTCAGAGGTCGTTGCTAGGCGCCGTTGGCCGCTCCTTCACATCTGGTTGGATCTCAGAGGTAAGGCGGGGTTTTTGGGGTTGTTTTTTTTTTGCCGTGGGGCGCATGCGTACAGAAAGGGATGGAGTCGGAACCTGAGCGGAAGGTGGGCGCAAAACTGGAGTTCGCGCGGGTGGCGAGCAGCAGTGGAGACGGGGAGGGGTGGTGGGCTTGACTCTTGTGTCTCTGCAGCGGGCTCGTGCGGACGAGGCGACTGCCGCAGGGAGCCGCTCCGAGGCGGAGGATGAGGACGACGACGACTATGTGCCCTATGTGCCTTTGCGACAGCGCCGGCAGCTGCTGGTGAGGGCCCGGGGTCTCAGGAGGAATGAGGGTAGGGGCCGGGCTTTCTCATTGGGATGCGGGGGGACGGTGAGGTGTCAGTACACGGGAGCGTGACCCTCGGCACACGAGGCACTGGAGACCTAATGTGAGGGGTGGAGCAGCTCTGCATCTCTGGAGAGGATCCTGGGCGCGATCCCGAGCCCCACTCTTTGTTGGGCTCGGCTGTGCTCTGAGGGACCCTGGTGGAACCTCAGCTCCAGAAGCTGCTGCAGCGAAGACGCAAGGGAGCTGCCGAGGAGGAGCAGCAGGACAGTGGCAGTGACTACAGGGGAGATGAAGATGACATCCCGCTGGGCCCTCAGTCCAACGTCAGCCTCCTGGATCAGCACCAGCACCTCAAAGAGAAGGCCGAAGGTGGGATCAGCAGCGGTGGGAGGCTCAGCTTGGTGCATTGCTCTGGCATCTCTCTGACATTTTCTGTCTTTTTTCTCAGCCCGCAAGGAGTCTGCCAAGGAAAAGCAGCTGAAGGAAGAGGAGAAGATCCTGGAGAGTGTGGCTGAGGGCCGAGGTATGGTTGTAGGTGCCAGCAGGGAGGTGGTCGACAGAACCTCCTCCCCCAGCCCCAGGCATGTTGTATCTCAAGGGGTCTGGCGTCAGGGAGGCAGAAGCCAGCCCTGAGCAGCATCTCTCTTTGCAGCCCTGATGTCAGTGAAGGAGATGGCTAAGGGCATCACATACGATGATCCGATCAAAACCAGGTATGCCTTTACAGGCTGTGGAAAAGCAGTTACCCTTACTTAGAGTAAATGGTTTGTGGCTGGAGATCGGCAGGGATGTGCCAAAGCCAGCCATGCCCAAGGCCTCCCTTGACCCCTGCCGCCCGCTCACAGTTGGACGCCTCCACGGTATGTCCTGAGCATGTCCGAGGAGCGGCACGAGCGAGTGCGGAGGAAGTACCACATCCTGGTGGAAGGAGACGGTATCCCACCGCCCATCAAGAGCTTCAAGGAAATGAAATTTCCCGCAGGTGCGTTAGGCGAGGGAGAGGCACCAGGCTTTGACAGTCAAACACCTGTGAGGTTGGGTCCCTGCCCCCACTGCACTCTGCAGCTACAGTGTAGGTAATGGGGATGGGAGGGGTTTGAGGAGGGGGTTCTTTAGGCTCCTTTGTCACTTGTGCCAGCTGAGCATATTCATTGTTCTGTGCCATTGGGGACCTTCACTGGGCAGATGGAGCTGGCATTAGACAGACCTGGGTGTGAACCCCAGGGGCTTTGAACAGGCCTGTCTGTCAGTATTTCTCTTCCTCTCTCCCTTTTTTGGGGGGCCTCAGTTTCATCATTTGTAACTTGTGGGAAACAGTGGCACTTTTACAAGCTTTGGGGCCTGATAAAGGACCTGGGAGATACATGGATGATGTCAGGGTTATCTTCTGTAGCCATCCTGAGAGGCCTGAAGAAGAAGGGAATCCACCACCCAACACCTATTCAGATCCAGGGCATCCCCACCATGTGAGTGCACCCCCCCGGGCCCGAGGAGGGCGGCCAGGCCGGGGGTGGTCCCAGTGTACACGCCGCCAAGCCTGACTGCAGGCCTGGCCTCTTCTGACAGTCTGTCCGGCCGCGACATGATAGGCATCGCCTTCACGGGCTCGGGCAAGACGCTAGTGTTCACTTTGCCCGTCATCATGTTCTGCCTGGAACAAGAGAAGAGGTTACCTTTCTCCAAGCGTGAAGGGCCCTATGGACTCATCATCTGCCCCTCGGTAAGACAGGCTGGCCCGCAGGGCAGGGCACCAAGGAGACTGTCCCCTAGCTGGTACCAGCCCCTGCCCCTGTTTCTGCAGCGAGAGCTGGCCCGGCAGACCCACGGCATCCTGGAATACTACTGCCGCCTGCTGCAAGAGGACAGCTCACCGCTCCTGCGCTGTGCACTGTGCATTGGGGGCATGTCTGTCAAAGAGCAAATGGAGACCATCCGGCAGTGAGCATAAGAGCCCCTCGCCCTGGGGCCTCCCCAAAACCCCTGGATAAGCTGACGGAGCCTTTGCTTTAGCCACTCTGCAGACCCTGGCAGAGGCCTAGTTCAGAGGAGTCCCCAGTTTCATGAAGAGGTTGCTTGGGGTGGGACACGGGGGTGTGGTGAGGGACTGTGGGGACACAGCAGATGGAACAGAGGTGTCAGGAAGGTCAGAGAATCAGGGCATTCCAGGCAGAAGACACAGAGGTGGGGTGCAGGGTGTCCCAGAAGGCTAGTCATTCAGTGTGTGGTCCAGCAAGCGGTCTGGGGCAATTGGGCAGGACTAGGCCCGGGCCCTTGCTGTGGCAGTCCCCAACAAACACCACCAGCTATCTAGGATCACAGTCAGGTCATCCCTGACTGTGGTTGAGAGGCATTCCCAGTCACAGGGAAGGTGTGAACACGGAACAGTTGGATTCAGTGGACCGGGACAGTGAGCCCTTCCAGGCCTGCAGAGGGAGCTGGGGCAGTGCTGGCTGAGGCCTGTCTGCAGACTCAGCACAACCCCCTCCCGGGGCAAGGAGAGTGACCTGGGAGAAGGGGAAAGGGCTTGCCAGGCAGAGGTGACCACACGGTGGGGAAGAGCTCTGGAGGGCAGAGAGCACTGGTGGAGAAGGCTGCAGCCCGCCCCAGGAGAGTCTGCTGAGCATTGGACAAGGCGGTGGGAGTGATGGAAAGGAGGCAAGGACAAGCAGGAAGGAGACCAGAGGGCAGAAATCTCAGTGTCGGCCTTTAGGTGGGGCTGAGCAGGTGGCCCTGACCCCAGGTCCCTTTCTGGTCCCCAGTGGTGTGCACATGATGGTGGCCACCCCTGGGCGCCTCATGGACCTCCTGCAGAAGAAGATGGTCAGTCTAGACATCTGCCGCTACCTGGCCCTGGACGAGGCCGACCGCATGATTGATATGGGCTTCGAGGGCGACATCCGCACTATCTTCTCCTACTTTAAGGTGCCCATCCCTGCCTGGCTGGGGTATTCCTGCCACCTTCGTTCGGGGCTGCCCAACCACTGTCCCAGCCCCCGCGTGCCCTCAGCCCCAGCTCTCCCCTTCCTCAGGGCCAGCGCCAGACCCTGCTGTTCAGCGCCACCATGCCTAAGAAGATACAGAACTTCGCCAAGAGTGCCCTGGTGAAGCCTGTCACGATTAACGTGGGGCGAGCCGGGGCTGCCAGCCTGGATGTCATACAGGTGGGTGGGTCCTGGTGGGGTGGCTCACCACAGAGGGTGGGCCTGGTGAGGCCCCTTGAAGCTGATTGGAGCCAGGTGGGTGGTCCACCTTAGGGGCACTGGGGATTTCTCTCAAAACCCCAACCCTTAGCAGGAAACATTCTTAGGGTGCCCAGCCCTTGGTCGCAAGAGACTTGTGATCACCTCCTGGCCAGGACTGTGAGTGGGACCATGGCTGGTGAGCCTGTCCTCAGGGCCACCTGACTTGGCCCCTGTGGTGGCAGGAGGTGGAATACGTGAAGGAAGAGGCCAAGATGGTATACCTGCTTGAGTGCCTGCAGAAGACACCCCCACCCGTGAGTGCCCCCGGCCAGGCTGGTCCAGGAACCCCAGGATGAGGGGAGGGGTGGGGGGGCACACTGGGGACAGGGGACAGTTAGGGATATTGGGCAGAGGCAGTCCCCGTGATGGGTTGGCCTGTCTGGACAGGTGCTCATCTTTGCTGAGAAGAAGGCAGATGTGGACGCCATCCATGAGTACCTGCTGCTCAAGGGGGTTGAAGCAGTGGCCATCCATGGGGGCAAAGGTTGGTGGTGCGTGCGTGAGCGTGGATCCTGCTGCTATAGCAGCCCCTCTCCTAACCCTGTGCCCTGCCTGGCTGGCCACTACTCCCAAACGCCCGCTGTCACGCTGACAGCTCCTGCCTGATACTCCCCAGACCAGGAGGAGCGGACCAAGGCCATCGAGGCATTCCGAGAGGGCAAGAAGGATGTCCTAGTGGCCACAGACGTGGCCTCCAAGGGCCTGGACTTTCCTGCCATCCAGCATGTCATCAATTACGACATGCCCGAGGAGATTGAGAACTATGGTAGGAGCTCGTGAGGTGGGGATGTGGGCTGGGCGCTAGGGTTGGGCAGTGGGCCAGAGGCTGTTTCCTCTCCTCACAGTGCACAGAATCGGGCGTACTGGACGCTCAGGAAACACAGGCATTGCCACCACCTTCATCAACAAGGCCTGCGGTGAGTCTGCTGCTCGGGCCACCTCACCCGTTCTCCAGGTCCTGGTTATAGGGCCCAGGGTTGGACCTGATGGTTCCCTGCTGTCCCCATAGACGAGTCAGTGCTGATGGACCTCAAAGCCCTGCTCCTGGAGGCCAAGCAGAAGGTGCCACCCGTGCTGCAAGTGCTGCACTGTGGGGACGAGTCCATGCTGGACATCAGAGGTGACTGCAGAGTGGGAGGCCGGCATTCTGAGGGGGTGGGGCAGGCACGCCATGAAACCAGTCCACACTGCACATCAGAGGATGGGGCAGGGTGGGGGGGAGGTCTGGGGCATGGGACCCAGCCCTGTTGCCACTCTAACCCCTATTTCCCTGCACCCCGTGCCCCAGGAGAGCGCGGCTGTGCCTTCTGCGGGGGCCTGGGCCATCGGATCACCAACTGCCCCAAACTTGAGGCAATGCAGACCAAGCAGGTTAGCAACATCGGTCGCAAGGATTACCTGGCCCACAGCTCCATGGACTTCTAGCCCCCTGCTGTCTCTCTTCTCCCTGAGGCCTCCATCCCTGGGTGCCAGCTGCCTGTGTACATCAGCCTTCTGGACAAGAAGCCAGCGTCCTCGGCCCAGCTGGCCTGGGCTGGGCCAGGCTGGGCCTGGCTGCCTGCCCTCGGTACCCCTAGAATTAATGTCCTTGCTTCCCTCACCTCATTAAAGCACAAGCTTCTTGAGTCTCAGCCCCAGCCCTGCCTCTGGCCTTCACCTTGCCTGCCCTGCTTCCTGGCAGCCTCACCCTCTGACCTCCAGAGCGCTTCTGAGGCAGGGCCTGGGCATCTCCCATACCCAGCGGCCTCAGTTGTCGAAGGAGGCATCTAGCTGGGACCCTGCTCCGAGTCAGCTGTAGTTGTACTTGAGGGAAGGAGGTACAAGTTGTACTTGAGGGAAGGAGGCATCTAGCTGGGACCCCCTCCCTAGACAAGAAAACCTTTGGTCAGGGTTTTTGGTCCCTCTGGTTCACTGTCATAACGTCCAGCCGTACCCCAGCCCACTCCCATTAGCAGTGTGACATTCCTGGGGCCCTTTGGGAGGCAACTTCCTGCCTCAGACCCCTTGTTCCTGGTGGGGAACCCTCTGCTGTATTGGCCGAGGGGCAGCAGCTGACAGAGGACTGGCACTGAGGCTGCAGGTGCCCCCGGCATGCTCCGTGCCAGGCTCTGCTGGGTCTCTCACAGGTGCATGGGGGAGAGACCCAACACGATGAATGCGGGTGGCAGTCACAAGCACGTTGGCAAGTGGGCCCGGCATTGCAACATCCGGCAGGGGGTGGGCAGAGGACCAGCCTGCCAGTGGCAGCTCCATGCCAGGTGCGCCGTGTGCGAGGCCACATGCTTATCCCAGCAGGACAGCAGTTGCTTAAGCCGTGTTTGTTACTTGGTGTGTGGCCTGGGGAAGGTTACTTAATGTTCCTGAGCCTTGATTTCCTCATCTTTGAAGTGGCAGCGTGCAAAGGTCTGGTGTGAGGCCGCAACTCGGCCCCATCTGGTCTGTGTTGGGCACAAAGCCAGGTGCAGCAGGCCCTTAGAAAGGATTTCCTGCCTGAGAAACTACACCCTCCATACGTGACCCCCATATTCCTCTGCCTGTTTACACATTTCATTCCAGCGGTGGTACTGAGTGGGTAACATGAGTTTGGTTCTAGAATTCAGATCCATTTCCAAAATGCAGAGTCGTGACACTGGTCTCCAGCCAGGCGAGGCAAGAAAAATGGGCCCCTAGCAAGAAGCAGAGCTTAAAAAGAGCCTATGAGTCTCTGGGGACCCACTCTGGGTGTTCCACGTACTCACAGGGGTGGGGCTACCTACCCCAGGAAGAGGCCACTGGTGCCCAGGGAGCACCGTGGTGAGGAATGACTTGGAGGGCTTGGGCTGGGGTCAGGACTCAACACCCTGAGTGCCGGGCTGAGGAGCCCGGGCTAGACCCAGGAGCAGTGGAGAGGAGAGTGGGCCCAGGTACAGCAGCCGTTCCCAGGGGAGATGCACAGGCTGGCCCTGGGCAGGGCTGTGAGAATGAAGAGAGCGAGTGTTGAAAGTACTCTGAGGTAAGAACAAGCCACCAACCAGAGCTGCAAGTTGAAAAGAAGTTTGCCAGTCCTGCTGTGGGGATGCCAGGGCCCTGGGTGCCCAGGCGACCCCTGGGGGGAACAGGAAAGGTCAAAGTCTGGAACTGAGGAGCCAGCCTGCAGGTCAGATGCTCACACCCACCTGGCCCAGGTGCAGGCACCAGTCACCTTTCCTCAGATGGTCTGAGGCCCCTCAGGCCTGGGTAGGTACCTTGGCCAGCAGGAGCCCTAAGGAAGAAATAGGGGATGCCCCCACCTCCTCTCCTAACTCCGCTACAGAACAAGGGGCTCCCCTCCCCCAGCCATGCAGCTGCCTCTCTGGAGAGAGGGAGGGGAAGTGGCCAGAAGGGGAAGTGTGAGGAGTTCCCCTCAGCCTGTCGCCAGTCTCCTCAGGCCCTCGGGGTGGTGGCCCAGGGGCCCACCGCAGCCATGGAGTCTCCAGAGACCCCCATCAAGGACGGCGTCCTCTACCAGCAACATGTCAAGTTTGGCAAGGTGGGGACCTGGGCTGCCCAGGGTAACTGCTGGGCCTGCACCCCAGCCTCAGGCAGCCCCCCTGGGAGAATGAGGATGGGAATGGGGGGGGGGGCATCTAACTCAGGTACAGGGGGTGGACAGAGCCCTATCCTCCACCTGGGCAGGCAGGCAGATCCTCCATGCACCTTGGGGAGCCCAGCCTCAGGGATGGGGAAGCTGTAAGTGGGGAGGGTCCAAGGACCCAAACCTGGGGGCAGAGCCGAGCTGGGAGGCCAGCTCACAGAACAGCCTTCCACCCACGGAGAGCCAGTGGTTGAGCTGGGGAAGCCTCCCTCAAGCAGCCCTGCTCTGCAGAAGAGGCCCAGCCCCTCCCTGCTTGTCATGGGACATGGTGGGGGGGGGGGGGTCGCTTCTCCTCGGTGGCCAGCCCTGCACCCCTGAGGCTCAGCTGCAGCTGCTGCCCAGGCAGATAAACCGTCTGTTTCCTTTGCTTGACGCTATTTGCATGTTTCCTTCCTTGCCATAGAGAGAATAAGGCCTTCCTCCCACCACAGCCCTAGTCCTGTGGCCCAAGTGACCTTTGGTGGGGAGGGGCACCAACACAACAGCAGTGTCAGGTGGTCTGTTCCAGCCACTGGGTCCTTTACAGACATTATCCAGTAGAAGCCCAACCTCACGTTGTCCTGACCCTTTGAGAGCCCAGGACACCAGTGCTTATGGGGGTGCCAGTCAGGAGAGGGTGGGGCGGGGCACTCTTGCCCCTGCTGGGCTGGCTGGCTGTGGGGGCCTCCTCTGAGCCCCCGAGGGTCTGGGGCGGCAGAGGCCGGACTGGGCGGCCAAGAGTGAGTGCTAAGTGGCACCTGCTGAGCCCCGCTGCGGTGAAAGTCTTCACCCCCATCCTCATCTCCCACAGAAGTCCTGGCGGAAGGTGTGGGGTCTTCTGTATGCAGGGGGCCCATCAGGTGTGGCACGGCTGGAAAGCTGGGAGGTCCGGGATGGTGGCTTGGGGCCAGCGGGTGACCGGCCTGCAGGTCCAAACCGACGGGGAGAGCCGCGGGTCATCCGCCTGGCTGACTGCGTGTCAGTGCTGCCAGTCGACTGTGAGAGCTGCCCCCGGGACACTGGGGCCTTCCTGCTCACCACCACCGAACGAAGCCACCTGCTGGCCGCGCAGCACCGCCAGGCATGGATGGGCCCTATCTGCCAGCTGGCCTTCCCGGTGAGCACAGGGCGAGTGGGCAGGGCATCTAGGGGTACTGCCTAGTTCGTTCCATACTCACTCATATCCTGCCACTCAGCAAACGCCTGCCACCCACCTGGGAGCCTGAGGCGCAGCCCAGAAACCACAGAACAAATCTCGGATGGCCATACATGCTACAGAGAAAGCGAGAGGCTGGGTGGGACCAGGGATGAACCAGGGTACATTAGGCGGAATGGTCCAAGAAGGCCTCTCAGGAGGGGTCAGTAGGCCCGAGTCCTCAAGGACAACCCAGCAGGCACACAACTGAGGGGCAAGCCTCGGACACTGCGGCCCCAGAGGTCCTGAACAGAGGGGGAGGAGCAGTGAGCAAAGGCCACCGCCCCCAACCCCCTCCCCCCACCCCCGCCAGGCAGGGAGCGGTTTGGATTGGCCGGAGGACAAGGAGTGGGCGGGCCCAGGAGGAGGCCGAGGCCGTAGGGTTTGGAGGGGGCGGCTGGAAACCACCATGGGCCACAGGTAGAGCTGGGGTTTTATTCCGAGGGGGGAGGCCTTTGCAGTTGGAGCTACGGGGCTGAGTCCTTGAGCTCAGCCGGATCTGTGATGGACAAAAAGCGAGTGAGTCTGGCTGCTCCTCGGTCCGAGGGAGAGTTGAGGCACGACCCAGCAATCCCAGGAGAACTGAAACACGCGTTTCAACAAAATAGTGCAGGAGCATTCGGAGCAGTTTCCAATGGCCAAGAGGGCCAAACAGTGCGAGGGTCTGATAGCTGACGATGGATAAGCCAGAGGTGGTCTGTCCACGCCGTGGGGCCTTGTTCGGTCTAGAAAGGAGCATGCTGCTGAGATGCTGCGCCACGCATGCGCCGCGGATGCACCGCGCAAGTGAGAGACTCCGGCCACAAAAGGCCACCCAGTGGAGGGTTCCATTTCCATGACATACCCAGAGTGAGCGAACCCACAGCAACGGGAAGCAGGCTGGTGTCCCCCTAGGGGCTGGAGGCAGGAGGGAGTGGTCTGGGTTTCCACGTGGAGAGATGGACAGTTCTGGAACTAGTTAAAGGTGATGGTTGCACATTCTTGTGACTTTACTAAAAAAAAAATCGTTGAATTGTACACTTTAAAATGGTCAATTTTACATTGTGTATTTAATTTTCTAATTGAAAATTTTTTATTTAAATAATTTTAAAAGATTTTATTTTTAAAGAGGAGGGAAGAGAAGGAGAAAGAGAGGGAGAGACACATGAGTGTGTGGTTGCCTCTCCTGTGCTCCTCACTGGGGACCTGGCCTGCAACCCAGGCATGTGCCCTGACTGGGAATCGAACCAGCAACTCTGGTTTATGGGCTTGCACTCAATCCACTGAGCTGCACCAGCCAGGTTTTTTAAACTTTTTTTAAAAAGAAAAGAAAAAACAAATCAACAGGAGAAAAGAGACCAGTGAGGAAGCTGCTGGTTTGGCCCTGGCCATGCTCCCGTGGGCCAGGGCAGTGATGGTGGAGGTGCTGAGCGTTGGCTGAAGGGCGTGAGGGCACTCGGGGCAGGGAGGGCTAGTGTGGATCCAGGAGTGGGTGGCCAGTTGACTCGTCCCACCCCTGAAGCTCCTGCCCCTTCATTGCTCCAAGCTATATGGGGACACACACAGGCTGGCCTGGTCCCAGGCCCAGTACCAGGCGAGGGGCCCTCCCTGTGTGTCCCTGCTTTACTACGGCTCTCACTACACCCTGGGGAGGGGGCGCAAGGGTTGCAGGGGAGCCGGACAGGCTCAAAGGGGTACCCAGGGTTGTGCATAGTGTCGGGACAGAGCTGGCACTTCTACCCGGTCCCCGAATGCATTTGCTTGTCAGAGTTCCCAGGTGACATCTCTCCCCACAAAAAGGGTGCAGGAAGAGGTGTGGGAGGATTGTCATCTGTGACCTTGACCTCATTCCTCAGGCCACAGGG